TTGAAAAAACCTCAAAAGCCAATTCCAGCGCTTAAAGTAGGTGGTAAAATTTTGATCACAAATTTGGAAAAAGCTCAGAAACTTGCTAAGCAATTCGAGAGTTCCCATAATTTCAGTTTGGGTCTTACTAGTCCTATTGAGAATCAGGTTGCTCGGGATTTTCTGAATATTTTCTCTCGGGAAAATATTTTTGATGATTCCTGGGGGACTGATTTGGACGAAGTAAGGTCTATAACTAAAAAGTTTCAAAATATGAAAGCTCCAGGTGATGATGGAATTTTCTATATCCTCATCAAAAAACTCCCAGAGAGTACCTTGTCTTTCTTGGTAAAATTATTTAACAGATGTTTCCATTTGGCATACTTTCCTGATAAATGGAAAAATGCAAAAGTTGTTCCAATTTTGAAGCCGGATAAAAATCCAGCTGAAGCTTCTAGCTACCGTCCAATAAGTTTGCTTTCTTCAATAAGTAAACTTTTTGAAAAAATAATTTTGAATAGAATGATGCTTCACATCAATACGAACTCAATTTTTGCAGATGAGCAGTTTGGATTTCGCCATGGGCATTCAACTACTCATCAACTCTTAAGAGTTACCAATTTAATTCGTTCAAACAAATCTGAAGGCCACTCAACTGGAGTTGCTCTTCTAGACATAGAAAAAGCATTCGACAGTGTTTGGCATGAAGGTTTGATTGCTAAATTGAAAAAGTTTAATTTTCCACTTTACATTATGAAATTAGTTCAAAATTATTTAACTGACAGAACTCTGCAGGTAAATTATCAAAATTCCAAATCTAATCGACTACCTGTTAAAGCAGGAGTTCCTCAGGGTAGCATTCTTGGGCCTATATTGTATAACATTTTCACTTCGGACCTCCCTGATTTGCCTCAGGGTTGCCACAAATCTTTGTTCGCTGATGACACAGGCATTTCCGCTAAAGGAAGAAGTCTCCGTGTTATTTGCAGCAGACTTCAGAAAAGTTTAGATATTTTCTCTTCTTATTTACAAAAATGGAAGATTTCTCCCAACGCTTCCAAAACTCAACTTATAATATTTCCACATAAGCCCAGGGCTTCCTTTTTGAAACCTAGTAGTAGTCACATAGTCACTATGAACGGAGTTCCAATTTCCTGGTCAACCCAAGTGAAATATCTTGGATTAATACTTGACCATAAATTAACTTTTAAAGATCACATTGAGGGCATTCAAGCCAAATGTAACAAATATATAAAATGTTTGTATCCTCTTATAAACAGGAAATCCAAACTTTGCCTGACGAATAAACTTCTAATATTTAAACAAGTTTTTAGACCGGCCATGCTTTACGCTGTGCCAATATGGTCTAGTTGTTGCACTACCAGGAAAAAAGCACTTCAAAGGATTCAGAACAAAATTCTGAAAATGATTTTGAAGTTGCCTCCCTGGTACAGTACAACCGAAGTACATAGAATTTCGAATGTTGAGACTTTAGCACAAATGTCCAACAAAATAATTAATAATTTCCGGCAAAAATCGTTACAATCCTCAATTGCAACGATTAATTCCCTTTATACTTAGATAAGATTTAGTTTTAGTTATTTAGTTTTAAGCTATCAATTGTTATACTGACATGCAGGTTTAAAAAACCTGTTTAAAATACTGAATTGCCAAGACAGGAACAATGTAAAAATACTTAGATATATATCATAACAATTAAGGCTGGTAAGTTACTGTAGTAACTGGAGCACCTAGGTTAAAAATGAAATGTAATTTATTTTGAATTTGGAACAAATAGTTAAAAAAAAAAAAAAAAAAAAACGTTCAAAGTCATTGTTTACGTTTCGAGTTATACCCTTCTGACATGTTTCCCCAGAGTTGGTTGGAAATGCTATCTAGCAGTTTGATAACAATTTTGCAGCTTTGCTTACAACAATTTCGATCAGAAGTGCCGTTTCCGTAGTACAATTTTATGAAAAATTCCAAAGACGCCATTTTGAAAATATTACAAGATTAGAAATGGCCATATTTTAACAAACAATTGTGCCAAGTTTCATGCAATTCGGAGAAGGTCTAGTTTTTCCGATTAATCATTTGGCGTAGATCTGCTCAATACACTCTTTAAAATCCAGGCAAAGCACGGGCATCTTAAACCGCTACACTGCATTGTCAATGTAGTGGAAAATAGGTTAATGGAACCTGTACCTGCTGTGTTTTCCAGCCATGCCTCCATTTGTTGTCGTCGCGGTCGGCGGTAGTATCATGTCTAGTCCATTAGACGATCTGATTTCTCACTCGCTGGAAACGGAGAACTCCGACAATTTTCTTGTTCCAACACTGTTCTCTTGTGTATCCACCTACAATCAAAGGCAAAAGAAGCAATACGATGATGATGTCGGTGGGTAGCTTCTGCTGCCAGTGATGACGATGACGAAGTCGGCAATGGCTTGGAAAACGCACTAGAAAATAAATTGTTGACTCGCAAACCAAACCAAGCTTAGCCAGCTTCTAGCATTCTTATCGCCACGCCACGCCGGCAAAAACCAAAACACTACAGTAGTACCTAGTAGAGTGGTCCTGCATGCACGAGAAGGGTGCATTTCTCGTTTTTCCTTGCTGTTGATGATGTTGTTTTGAGTTTCCAAGTCTCGCAAAAGGATGCCAAAAGCACACGGACAATGAGACCGACTCAAATTTGAGTTTGGATTCATTTTCTTCACGCTCGAGAAGTTGTTTCGGGAAAATCGAGGAAAATCCACCTTTTGAAAAATTTAGTCCGATCCAACTCACTTTTGAGTCGATCTCATCGTCCGTGCCGAGCATGAGATCGAATCGGGGACTCCGCCCGGAAGAAACAACACTGTTTAAATGGAGGAGTAGAACACAAGAAGGAAAAACTTCACAAACTGTTTCCAAGAAGTCGTAGGAGAGGAATCGGGCGTTGTCATCTAACCGACCCCCCACCCCCGTTCCCATGTACTGAGTTGATGTCGCGTCCCATCGAAAGTGGAACTGGAAAGCACACAGTTTTATGATTTTATTTAACATAACTATTAAGCGTGTTGTCAAGAGAATTTTATAGGAAGAAGGGTTGAAAAACCCCGGAAGAAGAAATGGGAGGGAAAAAATATTTGCACGATAACACAGTTGTGCACTTTCCACTGCATTCGGTTTACCACGCACAGACAAACAGAGCTGACTTTCTTTTAATATTGAAACAGAAAATGAAACGGAATTGGGTTGTTTAGGGGTATTGAGGTAAATACATATTCGTTATCTACATTAAAAATGGAACTGAAATCCAAAATTTCATCAATTTTGGTACACTGGAACTATTTTAAATAAGTACGATTACATTAGCAAAAATCACCATTTTAGCGCCCCTTGGTGGGACTTTGTATGGGAGTGAGCTGTCAACGAATAGATTTATTGTCAACGATCAAAAATTTAAATCTTGATTTAAAAATCGAAATGAATGTCTACAGGATCGATAAAAATATGCTTGTGCTCAGAAAGCGAAGCTCTATCATATGATGTATAAAAATTGGTATATTTTTCGAAGTTAAACAACCCAATTGGGTTGTTTAACTTCGAAAAATATACCAATTTTTATACATCATATGATAGAGCTTCGCTTTCTGAGCACAAGCATATTTTTATCGATCCTGTAGACATTCATTTCGATTTTTAAATCAAGATTTAAATTTTTGATCGTTGACAATAAATCTATTCGTTGACAGCTCACTCCCATACAAAGTCCCACCAAGGGGCGCTAAAATGGTGATTTTTGCTAATGTAATCGTACTTATTTAAAATAGTTCCAGTGTACCAAAATTGATGAAATTTTGGATTTCAGTTCCATTTTTAATGTAGATAACGAATATGTATTTACCTCAATACCCCTAAACAACCCAATTGCTTTCCAAAAACGAATCGAAGTGAGCTAGAAAATGGTTAGCTTTTGCATAACTTTAGGCGTTTACTTCAAAATTGCCAGCAGATGTCGCCGCTGTATCTCTTCAATGGCATTTTCCATCTGCTTATCTAGGTTCGTTTACTCTTCCATGCAACAGAAAAGGAGGGACCGGAGTGCCTTTGACGGGTGGGTTTGTTGGGAAACCCTGAAAACTGTGCCACATACCGACTAACCACCCACCGCAGTCGTAGCCGGAGTTATTTGTTCTGCGGGGCTTCTACTTCTCCGGTGTTTGCGGTGCACAGGTCCGTGGAAAATGAAAACCATCAATCAATTAGATTGCGCCTTTAGTAGAATGAGCTCTTCACCAATGGGAATCGGAACGGAACATTAAAGAAATTAAGAACGATACGGAGAAGATTTGTTGAACTAATTCAGTTCTTCAATTGTTAGTGTAGGACGAGCTCTGTCTACATTGATTTTTTTTTGGCCCACCGTCGCAGAGTAATCTTCAATCTATTAGCCACTATTTCGACGCAAATTTATAGCATCGAATTAATTTTTAGCTCCTCTAATCCCAGGATCAAAGCGGTTATTAATTTTCTTCATCCTATTCACTGAACATCATTCCCGTAAATCACCTTCGCTTTGAAATGGCCTCCCCATTCTGCCAACATCATCAGCCAGAGTAGCAGTATTTCCCATCGCATAATTTACTGGACGGCCATTGAAAAGACAAGAAACAGCCGGCTGGAAGCTAAAGAACGGCCAGCTCCAACTGACCATTACCTACAACCAACCATACCAAAGTCCGTTGGGCTATCATCATTTGAGGCGTGACCAGGTCCGCCAGGACCAGGAAAGATGGGTGCACGTGACCAGAATATGATGACATCGGTTTCGGTCGTAAAATAGATTACTATTTGGTGGAAAAAGGAACGAGCCCATCGAACAAATGTCCTCCCCGCTCTCCATCTGCCATAGGAGATAATGATCACATTCAGCCGGAGAGAGGAAAGCAATTTGGTGCCTGGGACCATAACATTAAGATCAAATAGCAGACACACACACACACACACACATGGAACTCAAATTCGGTACTCACCCACGGGTTGTTCCCCTGCTGGTCAGCCCAGTAGCCTTCGCCGGCGTCGGCCCACTGCGATTCGAGTGGCAGTTCCGGTTCCGGTGGCCATATCGGTGGCTTCGGCGGTCGCGGGGTCGCCGGTTCCCCACGTGGGCACCACAACACCGACTGTGGGCAACCTATGTTGATGGTTTTCAGCAACCAAAACACGGACAGTTTATACAGACACAGATTGCTAGCTGTGGCGGCGGCAGCGGCGGCGGTGCTTCCGATGGGTGGTCAATCAACTGGCAACACTGGCTGAGGGCCGTGGCCGCCGTTTTCACCCCCCGCTGGATTACTACTGTTGGCGCAGTAACGCGTTCATGATGGTTCCAGCTTGAAGTAACCGGGTGCTGGAAGGGGTTTCAGTCCATCGGACATTTCCACTGCACTTGCACTTTTGCAGATGGTTTTGTTCTTCTCACTTTTTCACACTTTCTTCTCGGTTGATTCAGTCACATTTTCAATCAATTGCTGTAAACTAGTTGCGGTTAAATCATGATCTGAACTGATTTCTTGGTTGGTAGTTCCCCAGATTTTGAGAAATGCATCTTTCCTTGTTTAAAAACACATCAATTTGAAGGGCTCATTTGAAGAATCAAAGTGACGATTGACTCACAGGAGGCGAGTGGGTTAAAATGGCAATGACGTTTTGATATCTGTCAAATTGCATGACATTTTTTTTAGTACATCATCATTTTTGTAATGGTGGATATTAAAACTAGGTGTAGCATGACCAGTTTTGGCATTACTTTGATTCGCCATTTATGAATAGTATTCCCAGATCAGATTTAATAATGGCCGTAAGCTCCAACTCGGATTAACCTAAGAGGAAGAGGTGACAATTGGCTTCTTCCTCTTTTATTTCTATCTCTATCTCTATCTTTATCTATCTCTATCTCTATCTTACGCACATGAAATCGGCCGATCAGGAGCTGGTTCACGTTTGACAGAAAAGTGGTTCATTTTCGCCCCCGTATTGTCACCTCTTCTCTTAGGGATTAACTTTCAATACCGACCCTGTTTGGATGATCTGCTAAATGGTGGTTAAGAGTCGTGTTGATAAACTCTTATGTCGACAAAGTAGCCGGACATTCTTAATCGGGATTTAATCCGAGGATAATTGATGAATTTACGTTACGGTCGACCAGCAGATGGAAAATGATAATGACGTTTTGCTACCCGTCAAATCGTATGGAATATTTTTTAGTACATCATCAGTTTTGTAATTGCAAATCTGAAAACTAGGTGTCGCATGGCCAGTTTTACCTTTGCGTAAATTCATCAATACCGGTTGGAGCTTACCACCATAAATGATATTCATATGAATGGATTAACTCCAAAATGATCAAGTTATAATTCAAATTTTCGAAAATGGGCGGTTGTTGAGTAAAATCGAAGACAACATATCAAGAAGACTGGCAACTCTTCGATTTTCTCATACGACTGCTATGAGACCGACACAAGCGCGTCATCTCCCGCGCAAAGGTAAATGCTTCGAACGAATTTGGTAGCAAAGATTACAACCTCAGAAGATAGGTTTGTTGCCAGTTTTCTTGATTTGATGTCTTCAGTAAAATCCTAAAATTAAAATTTAATCTGAATCACTTTTTTTTTCTAGCCAAGATGGCAAGCTACACTGGAAACGAATCTAACTCAGACAGTGAGTCACTTTTACCACAGAGAACAGACGTCCAATTTCCTCCAGAAACTTGTATAAAGATAAGTGGGAACGTCGCCGTTATGTGGCACTAGCATTTCCTGATTTCCTCTATAAATTTTCCACTTTCGACCAATTTGACGGTAGTATCGATACATTTTCCGTTGAAAATTACCACTCGGCACTACCGGAACTAAGTCTAGTGTGAGTTGTGCAACGCCAGCGCCATTATGTTGCCAAAGAGGATTTTTAAGTGGGGAAATCGGTGTTGGTGGGGCTTAAGTTGAATAGGAATATTTACACTAGTGAAACTTGTATCTTAGAATAGTGCCAGAGAATTCCATTAAAGTTCAGGCAATTTCATATAAGTTAGGAGTATTTCATAAAAGATCGGGGAACATCATAGAAGTTCTGGGAAATTCATAGTAGATTATAGAACTTCATGTAAATCTTCACATAATATCATGAAAGCGGTTGCGTCTTTTACGTCAAACAGATATTCTGTCATATGATACCAAGCTGCTCAGAAATTATTCCAATGATCTTTAGGTGTTCTAAGATGTCCATGAAGTCCTCTTGATGTTTTTTTTTTCAATACTTCAGGTTGATCAGGTATTATTCTAAATATCTTCAACTATCCAACAATTGAAATCACGTTTATTAGATATTCTCTCATGAGACTAGGCTACTCTTCTGCATCCGAAGACCATCAGCTGATCAGAGATCCCCATCATAACCTCAGGCTTTTTCTAGACTTGAGGTTGATCAGGTATCATTCTGAACCCTAGCAGCACACTTGTCACTGAACAATTGTGGACACTTGTGTACAACTGATTCCGGTCACAATCAAGTATCAGCAACTTATTTCGATCGAAGTGTGCCGCTTGGGAAAATATCCACCTATCCAACTATCCAAATCACATGTTTCAGATATTCTCTTACATGATACCAGACAGCTCAGAAATTATTCCAAAGACCTTCATGTGTTTTAAGATTTCCATAGAGTCCTCTGGATATTTTTTCAAGACTACAGGATGATCAGGTATTAAAGGGTGTATTCGATAAAAATGGGACACACATATTTACTCACCAAAATTAAACCGATTATAGGATTTTCTTGAAATTTTCAGGGGATGAAAAACTACTAATGAGCTATGATGTACAAAATTAGTTTTATTCAATCTCGTCTCCCATTCCGAATGCCCGCACCTCCCTTTTCACTCCACCCATCAAATTTCGTAGCACTGATTTTCTCAGTTTTTTTTTTTTGTTTTTACCCAAATTTTCTTCAACTCCAGCTCTGTTTTAATAGTTTTGGGATGTTTGCGAAGTTCCGTCTTCATAATTACCTAGAAAAGTTACAGAAGATTTTCGGTGTGCCATTTTTATCGAATACACCCTTTATTCTGAAGATCTCAAACTGTCCCACAATTCAAAATCACATTTTTCAGATATTATCTCATGGTACCACGTAACTCATGGTGAGCAAGTATCATTCTAAAGATCCTTCAACTGTCCTACAATTTAAAACACGTCTCTCAGATATTCACCCCCGATACCAGGTCACTCATAAATTGCTCCAAAGACCAACAGGTGACAAGCGATCTCTATAAAATAATCTCCATAAATAATCAACAATCCAAATCGCAGCCCTAAGATATTTTCTCATACGATACCAAGCGACTCAGAAATTATTGCATAACCCTTCTTCGGAGATAGTACTTAGGATATTGTTTCAAATCTTTCGGTTGCTCAGGTACTATTTTGAAGACATCTGGATGATCAGGTACTATTCTGAAGATCCCAAGCTGATCAACAATTCAAATAATGTCTGTCAGATATTCTCCTAAGTTTTCCAAAGATCTTCAGCTGAACTTCTCTGGATATGTTTTCAATACTTTGATAAATTTTTCTGAAGATCTTCTACTATCCATTTAATTCAAAGTACGTCTCTGATATTCTCTTATGATACCAAGTTGCTCAGAAATTATTCCAAAGGCCATCCGGTGATCAGAGATCTTCATTAAATCATCAAGTTATTTCTTCAAGCCTTCAGGTTAAATAGGTACCATTCTGATGGTATCCAACAATTACAATTACGTCCCACATACCAAACACCTTCAGGTGATCAGGACGATCAAGTATTATTCTAAAGATTTTCAACTGCCCAACAATTCAAATCACGTCTCTTAGATATTCTCTCATGAACCCAGGATCATCAGGTGATCAGAGATCTCCAAAGCCTTCTCTCAGCTGTTGTCTTTGGTGCCGTCGAAAACCACATCACAAGTAGCTTCAATCCCATGTACTCCAGAGATCGCTGTTGCGTATAGACCTTGCTTGACCGCTGCCAGCATCGAAGCAGCATACCATTTCAGCATATCCGTATCGATGCTTAGCGCTTGCCTAATCTCCTTATTCGAATCAGTACCCATTAGAGTGGTGCAAAATATCAATTTTACACTCAATCGATTTCAAATCAGGTACTGGTAATTCTCCCAAAATTTGAGCTTATTTGGATGCGAACTCATACTGCACTGGCACTTTGAAGTTTATATAGGAATTACTATGGGAAAAGTGAACTTTTTGTTCTCATCGTTCTAGCCCTTCACAGTAGTAACATAGAGGTAACTCTAAGACTAGTAGGTCCCGAAGAAACGTGTTCAACTTTTAGCTCAGCTCTGGTACTATCTTCGGTCCCAAGCTAATCGATTCACCCCTCGAAACATAGGAAAATCCACTAACCCCTCATTTTATCTGTCAAACTTTCATAGCGAATCAAAACAAACATTGTGTAGTACTAGAATTTCGACTAGAATGGGATAAGTTAATCGATTTGCTTGGGACCAATAGGCTAGTCAAGTAGTGAGCCAATTTAAAATCGTTAGTTTCCACCGGGTAGTAATCTACGGAAAAGTTGGCTATCTGTACTAATGTGCAATTTTCCCAGCTGCAACTTTGCTGAAGACCGGATGTCATTTGAACGTCAGGATAACAAGTTATTAATTAATTAAGCAGGCGAGATAAACAGCTCAGTAGGTAACAATGGTGTGGTTGGTGCGGTGAATAGGGTAAAATATCATATGTAATTGCAAGATGCAGTGTTGCCTTGAAAGCAGTCGATAAATCATAACAGAAAGTTATCGGCTTCGAAATTAATTAATAACTAATTACCTTGAAGGCCAATCAAAAAGTGGTCTGGATCAAAGTTGTAGCTGATAAAATTTCACACAAGAGAAGATAAAAAGCTTTAATCATTATGGCGCAATACTAGCACCAATCCACATGCCACTGGAGCATTTCGTTTGTGTCGTAATTCGATCTGTCAAACGGGCGATCAGATCTGTCAAACGAGATGAGACGCAAACCAATATAAATTTCACGTGTGTTCGTGTCCTTGCTTACGATATGACGCAACCGGATGAGTAGATGGCGGTAATTTTTTTTTTTTATTTGATTTGTTTCCCGTCGATCTTGTTTTCCGTGCTGAGCACCAATGCTACCGACGCCAGGGAGGCAGCTCCCACACCTGGACCCTACCTATCGACCCATCAGCTCATGAACCGGGGACCAACGG